AAATTAATTAGACAATCTTTTCTCTAATATTTTTTATTTTGATGTAAGATAAATTGCTTACATTATATATAAGATAGTGTTTGATTCTGATTTCTGAATTATTATAAGTTCTATATATGATAAGCAGAGAAAAAATCAGAAAATTAAGGTTATCTGGAGATAATCTTGCATGCTCTTATCAATGGTTGATATAAATCAAGGTCATCGTTTGTCAACACGGCTAATTTTTTCGATTAGAAAAACTAATCAATCTATTTTCATTGATCCGAAAATAATTTCACGAGACAACTTTCTTTAGACGTCATCTATCAAAAAAAAGCGGATGAGTCTTGTCAACATCTTTTTCAAAGATCATTTTAAGATAATTAGCGCATGTTTATAGACTAACTTAACATACCTCCGAAATAGAATGGTGATGATTCATATTCATTATAAGTTGCACCACCAAAATATAAATCTTCTGAATGAGTTACTGTTGAATTTTGTGCATAACCATTATCAATACTAAGTGTTGTTGTTTGTCCATTACGTTTAATTAATATTGTATGCCATTTATCATCATTTATTTTCATATTAACATTTATAGCTTGTCGATCACTGCCCAAATTAAATAAAAGACGAGGTTTACCTTCGAGTAATTTTAAATAAAAAAAATCAAATTTTCCACGATCATCAATATATGCAAGTGTACCATCTTTTGAATTTGTTCGTATATCAAAACGTACATAACCTGTAAGACATGGATGCCATGAATCAAATGAAATGTAAGTATTAGATGCTGCAGAAAAAATAAATGTATTTAATGATGATGATGATGACGGTGATGATAATGTTGATTTAATAAGAATAAAGGAAGTAAAAATAAATAAAAACATTGTATTAAAAGTTCATATCACTGTTAATATCTAAAGATAATTTATTTTGTAAGTTTATACAAACAAAATCGAACTATTGTTTTTTTAATATATATATATATATATATATAACTGATATATATGTTCATAATAGTGGTTAATTGTGATCATATGGATGATCAAACGAACAGGAAAGAAATTTCTCACGACACTATTACGAGTTGCAATAGAATGAATGATTACGTACTATGCAACCAGTTGATTTCTTTTTTTTTTCTTCTCTCGTCATTGATTCTTGGAACTGTTGATAAAGAACGTCCAAAGAAATATAATTCTCTAGCTCGCATTTCCTATCAAGTTCTAATATATATATGTCATAGGACAGATTGAAATCTAGTTCAGTTTTAAATCGAACTAGGACAGACTAAAATATTTTGATGTGATCTACGTCAGATTATAATATTCTAATTTGTCCTAGTTCTGATTGAAACAGAGACATTTGGATGGATGGTTCGTGAAAGTGACGACAAGCGCAAGAATGTGGATAATAGTTCCATACTTACTCGCCATCATTCGCCACACACCTTCATCCTCACTCTAACATGTATCATCAACCAGTCAGCTACGAATAATTCGTCTGAAAATTTTAATTTGACCTAGTTAATATCAAAGTTTTGATCTGCTCTAACTCCCTCCCCTGATATTAGGAGACCTCTTCATAATAGAAGATCCCTCGGAAGATCTTTTTTGCGGGAATTGCACGTATTTTGACAGGAATTTCAACAGAGTTTCAACTTAGTTCGACGGCTCATGATGGAAGACCCGAGATTTTTATTACGCGGGGAGGGGGCTTACTTGAATTTAAACCTGAACCGGATTTCAATCTGTCCTACGATATATATATATAGTGTCTATCGATTCATAGTATAGTTAACCATACATAATACAATGCGAGGAAAAGCTTATCTTCTGTATGACTCAAATTATGTATCGCCTATTATTTCAATCAAGGGAAAACAGAAAGCACTTCATGAACGAAGTCCACTGTTTCTCCCTAAATTTTAATAGATATTGATGCTATGATTTTTTCTATTTTTGAACGTTCTTTATGGATTGTACCTTTTCGCATGTGGTGCCACAACAAACATTGTACGTACAATATCGTTATATAGAAACAGGAGCAAAGACAAAGGAATTTTTTCAGACGCAGAATAAAAAAACGTACTAGAAGAAGATATATAGACAGTGATGATAGATGAGAAGTGTGAAAGATTGATTTGTTGAGTTAAAGGTATTGAAATATCAAAAAGATTATTGACGAGAGATGAGTCTGGCAAAGATGATACAATTTATCCAGTAGAAAGGATTTGCAAATTGAATCAACACAAGTGGCAAACGCGTGGTTGATTGACCATCGTTTTCTTTTCCTTTTCCTCTTCTATCCTCCAAGCTTCTTGTCTATGTTGTTCTAACATAAGTACGGTAATGATGATGATGTTATTTATATGTATATAGATGCCAGGGTAAAAAAAAAAGAGAATAGTCAAGGTGTAAATGATTTACAGACGAGCATTATGGAATATGGACCGCCCGTTAAGCTTCATAATATCACATATTTTATAAATAAACAGTACAAATACGTAATCATGTAAGATGTCGATGCTCAATATCGAGCCAATTGTATTTACATATTAAATAAGAGTCATTAGAGCATATATATGTACATAGTCGTGTAAATGTTTCTTTGTATTTTGACATGATTAATAATGAACAATTCATTCATACATTGTAAAAAAAACAATCTTTGTAGTGGCAGTTCATTAGTTAATATATATACGTGATGAAATAACGTAGACAAGATTTCCCAATAGATACTTTGTTGTCTGAATATGTGATGATCATATACATGATATCACAGTACGTTTTTTTTGTCAAATACCCAAGTGGCAAACAAAAAAAAATTCTTTATCTATATTTCATATACATAATAATAACGATAATGACTGCAATGTAAATGGATCTTATAGATTGTTTTTTAACGTTAAGAAATCAAAACAAACATAAATCGATTATGTATCTATACTAAGCACTTATCAAGCTATTAACTATCTATTTTGACCCTGATAGAAGCTGTAATACAGAATTACAAGTAGTTATTAAAGGTGTTATCCTCGAGGTTTATTGTCATAACATCTTATTTATTATTCATTAGAATAAGAAATAAGATGAGGAGAAAAAAATCGATCCCTAAAACAATTTCTTTTTTTTTTTATCTTTTTTCCTTTTTGTATTACATTCTAATCGATTAAGATGAACAGAATGATGATGGTGATGGCTCAAGGCAATTGAAGAAAGAAGAAATAACCTTGACAGTAGCCTTTTTGCCAAACGGTTAACAATAAAGAAAGAAAAAAAGAATTTTGTTACCAAATATATCAGTCGATCATATTGAAAATAAACAAGTATTTTGTTTTAATAGTTAAAAATGATGTATAATGAACGTAATTATATACGTTATTTTATTAATCGCATAGAAAGAATGAGAAGCTTAAACGACATACAATTTATTTATTTATAGAAATACATTTTTCAATATGATTTTACATCGAATGATACCCTAAAGTGTATAGTACTATTTAACTACATCTAGTATCATTTATCATCATCAAAAATGTCATGATTTGCCTTCTTTCTTCTTCTCATAGAACTTTATTTCCTATCATGAGTCAATTTTTTCTATTTTTAATCATTCTAAAAATAGTTACAATTCGATAAGGATCATTAAAATGTAAATAATCGTCTGGAAGTATATGTCAATCGAATTCATCCGTACGTGTCTATAAATTATCTAATCATAATAGTTTAATTTTTATAAAGAAAAAAAAGGCAATTTGATTGTTAGTAAGATAAGTCTATGCACTCCTTTTCTTTCATCATCAAAATCAATCAACATTAATATATTCATGCGACAGTTGTAGTGGTACTCGTTACAATAACAGATGCTTATGAATGTATATCAATAACACATAATGGTATTTGATGTTGATATTTATAGTTATTTAATGTTTGTATTAAGCGTATTTTTAGTTATAATTGATCATTGTAGATGTCTTAATTTTCATGAAAGCTAATTGATGTGTGTGTGTGGCTTTTCAAACAAATATTATTTAAGAATTCTTAGTGCTTCACCATAATTGACAGCCTACTCAGCTATGGATATCATAGATACGAGTACTGCTCGTAATGCATTTAATTGTATATTTATATGGACAAGTGATTCACTAGCATCAGCAACAACAGCTTCAGTTACAAAAACATAAA